ATCAGAATTTCCAAATGAAATTATTGGCATCGATTTATTGGGCCCTTTCTCAAAAAATCAGTTAAATAAAGTCGGTATCTTCTTGTTATGGTTGATCATTTTAGTAAGTGGACCGAAATTGTTCCCTTAAAACGAGCCTCCGCGAAATTAGTTACTGATTCTATTTTAAATAAATATATTTTAAAATACGGGGCGCCCCTAAAAGTTATATCGGATAATGGTCCTCAATTTGTAAGTAATATATTTGAAGACATGTGCCAAAAACTGGGCATACGTCATTTAAAAATGGTCCCGTATCGGCCGCAATCAAATATAGCGGAACGGGTCAATAGAAATATAATGAAAATTATCCGTAGTTATGTTAAAAATTTTCATAAAAGCTGGGATTAACTATGTCAATGAATTAGCTTTCGCCCTTAGGACCGCAAAACATGATACGACGGGCAAAACTCCTGCTGAGTTATTTTTAGGCAGAAAGATTATAACGCCGTTAGATAAATTATTTTATGTTCAACAAAGAGCCCCAGAATTTAAAATGGGCGATATAGAAAAATTAATTAAAGAAGCAAAAAAGAACACTGAAGTAGCACAGAGAAAACAGAAGCTTTATTATGATATGAAACGACGACGGGAGTAACTTATAAAGTAGGAGAGATGAAGTGTTAAAAATTAAGCATTCACTTTCTTCAGCACCAGAAGATAAAACTGCCAAATTTTATCCACGATTTGAAGGACCATATGTCATAGAAAAAGTAACTCAGGCTGTAGTGGTGTTAAAAGCCAGGAATGGTGAAACCTGCACCGCAAACGTTGACCAGATAAAACCATTTTATAATCGTAATAAAATGCCAATATTTAAAGATCTTTTGCAGGATCCGGCACGGCAGGCACTGCAGGCACAAGCTCCAGAGGTGGAACAACGACAATCACAAGGGCAAGCCATTAGGAGACAGGAGCAATTGAAAAGAAAGTTTCCCCGTTGGAAAGTTGAAGGTAACAAGAAAAAGAAGCCGTTCCACCGACCAGAAAAGAGAGAGCACGACCACCCCCAGAATGAAGAAGGGAGAGGAGAAGTACGACTAATGCAAAGAGAAGCCAGGAGAAATGACAGCAACTATAACCCGGCTCCAAACGGAAGATCTACCCATCGGATAGGAGTCTACGCAGCAAATGTCGACGAATTGATGAAGGAAGACCAGCTGCGGATGCAAAGAAACAAGGAAAAATTTGAACAGCCAGCAACGAGATCCAAGGCAGGAACGAGAGAGAAGTTGTCCCGGTTTCGCCAAGACCAGCTGCCATCAAACGGCCGAGACCACAGGCAGAGGCTAAAAAGAAGGTCTTCAAGGGTGACCGAACTGGAAGGAAAAGAAAGCTCATAGAGGAAGGAACGGCGAACCCGCACAAGAAGGAAGATAAACCAAACGTAGTCTTCGCTACCTTCCAGGACTGGGCAGAAAAAAGGATGTCTGAATATCACAAAGATAAGTAAAACTTTATGTTACTTTGAAACCTTAAGTTAATTTTTCATTCTTACTGCAAGTGGCAGAATTCAAGAAGTTTTACCTCATGTGAGGCCTACCTTTATCGCCAAAAAGGCGAGAAATGAGTTGTTACCTATTTTGGTATTATGTTTTTCAATTACTCGCGAGTAAAACTAAAATTAATGTATAAGGAATGTGTAAATACTTGAATATTGTAAAAGTTATTGTATAAAATTTTATTTAAAAGATTCTGGCAAGAAAGAAGTTTTAGTCTGAAAGACTTTTGAAATGTAGTAATTTCAATGTAGAAGAATTGGCACTTGCTTGGAAAAGAATAGAAGTTAACAATGTACTACTAATGTATGTTTTAAAATGCGTAAAATTAACGGCATGTTAATATGTCCTTATATACAATGTGAACTGTTATTTTAAAAGTTAAGAAATACTTGTGATATGTTAAAAAGTAAAAGTAATTTTAACTTATTCGTGTGACTGTAAAAAGAGCAAATTATTGTGAATATGTGTTAAAGGTTGAATGAATGTAGTTAGGCTCTCTGACGCTACACTTCAGAGTTAGCCACTTTTCAGAATAGTACCTCAGGGTTTAGAGATGAATATAAGGTGTGTTATGAGGTCTTGTTATGTTGAATTTTAAGACGTTAGTGTTTTGATTGCAGGCGGTAGTGTTGAACACTTGTACATAAACACGCTCGTGTTTGGTGTTTTCCTTTACAACACATGTCAGAGAGCACGGGGAGATAATTAAATAACGTCATGAATGAAATAAGAATGTTAAAGAGAAATATAAATATTCATGTTACTTGCCATTTGATTGTGTAACATTTCATTAAACTAGTTTTCCTTCCAGATCTCTGGAAGGAACCAGATTTCAACTAAGAACTCCTGTTTAGATGCAGTACAGATGAAAAGTAATTGTCCATGAAGTTGATAATGTAAAAACGATTTTTTTTTAATTTCTAGTTTCTAGTGAGAAATGTTTGTAAAAGATTGGCCTCGCGTTAGATTCTAGAGCTAAAAGTTTTCAACAAGGTCGTTTTAGACCTCAGTTTCAAACTAATTAACTCTGGCGGGAAGTATGTAAGGATCTTAAGTTTTACTAACGTTTATTTTATTTTAAATCTTTACTATCACTTCTTATTTTCTACTTCCGGCCAGTATTAAAAGCTTTAACGTATTTATGCAAATTTATCTTGCGAACGCCAAGTACTTAAGTTGTGGCTTTTTGCCAAGCAAAGAGAGAGGAAGGAGGATTAGAGCAGGCCGCTTGCCATAGCAGTTTTACTCGGTTGCTGGTTGCCTTCAAGACCAGAGGTTTAATCCTCTTGATAATTTTAAACGTATCGTAGTGTTAACAGTTCTCTGTACTACATCCGGCCTTTCTGTTAATATACGGCCAATCTTCAAGTAGGCACTTGTTTATTAATCCAAAGTTAGTTTAGTTAGAGTTTAGTTAATATTTTTATATTCTTACGTTCAGACCACAAGTGGTTGGTCTCTGTATTTCGAAGTCCGGAAATCATTGTAAAGAGAGAAAAATAAAGGGTTTCGTATACCCTTCCTGTGTATCTTGTCTACTTCCCACATTTATTGAACATAGCTTTAGTAAGCTCCCTGTTCCGAGTCAGGTCATTTAGTGTTCCCAAAGCAAGTAAGGAGGAACACTGAACCTGATAATGTGACGAAATGAATGCTTGCATAAATATTCAATAAGTAGTTACTAACTTCCCCTGACACAAGAGAAACGAAAATTACGTTTAACTTGTTGAGACACTGTTGTTATCTTATAAGAAACTAGGATGCAACATATATTTGAAAATACATCTTCTTGATTCTCACCTACATTTTTCCCAGATTACTTGTAGAGACATTAGGCTACTTCGAAAGAGGATATTAGGATATTGAGCTATGCCCTAGCCGGGAATAGGACCACGGATCTCTCGAATACGCGCCGAGCGTGCTGACCACTACACACGAAAGCGTGCTAAAAAGGCGGGAGAAATATATTATAAACTATGGTGCAGTTAGTGAGGAACACGGTGAGCGCTTTCACCAGGACATTGCAGAGATGGAGAAAAGATGTCAGAGAAAATGGAGCCTTTCCTTGCGGATTATTGTTGGACACTTGTAAGAGTTGCTCAGACGTATTGTATCAGCAGGTACCAAATCGAAGGCATATTTAGTACTAGAAACGCACTTTCAAACACTTATCCAAGTGAAACGTTTTTGGTAAACTCAATCAGCAGCATTGGGTATTTCATAAACGAAAGATTTTTATTTTAAAATTTATTTGTTTCTTAATTTTTACTTCCTTGTACGAAGTAAAAGAAGTATTGTTATCACGAAAAATACCGGGTATCATATTTCAACAAAAACATCCATTTTGACAGCTATCGAATGCAATTTAAGGATGTTTTTTCGTGACATCTGTACGTCAGGGCAGAATAAAGAACTCCTTTTCAACAAACAGATTGTGAAATTGATTTAAAAGGGAATCAAAAGAGATTTTTTCGCGGCATCTGTACGTAAGTATGTACATATGTATTTCGCATAACTCAAAAACGAATAGCCTCAGAACGTTTGAGTTTTGTATGTAGGACTGTTGTAATATGTAGTTGTGCACCTCCTTTTGGGTTGCAATTGGCCACATCAAAAGTATACAATTATATATACATATGTGTGTACCCACTCTGTTACTCGGCTCCGTAAGCTCAGATTTTTTTGTTCTTTTTATATACTGGTAAATTGTGCATTTCTGTGTTTTCAAAATGATTGAATTATATGTTCTTGTCTTCCAGTTAAGGTTTTTATCCCTTTAGTTAATCTGCATGCAATAGCTGTAGAATTATCAAGAATTTAGAAGTTGTTAAAGTGCGACCAAGACTAATTTTTTATACCATACCAGCCATATTTGTTTACAATTTAAACTTAGCCAAATAGTGAATTATGTTAGTTCTGCACCTTCAGTGTCTTTTTGCAGAGTGGGACCAAAACTAAACTGTCAGTTTTGTGCACTGAAAAATCTGCCTTCTTGCCTGCTCGCCGAATTGCTTGCTTTTGCTTAGAACCTCTAATTTTAATTGTAAAAATTATTTTTTAAATTCTTTTAACTTTATTTGGCGTTTGATGTTTTTCTATAACTTTTAATTTTTAATGAAGATATTTTGAGGTTTTAGGTATTTTTGCCTTGTTGCGAAATGAGAACTGAATTAATTGAATGAGAAATATATATCTTATGAATTGCGATAAAATAAGTTTAAATGAAATGAAGCAAAAAATGCGTATAATTTAATATTCCGTACAAGGAAGTCTTGTGGTTTCTGCATCAGACTTTTTTAATCATGCTCTAATATACGGTGTTACATTTAACAGACTTCCCAGAAAATCAATTCGAGCATAGATTTTCCATTTTAAGGTATATACTTAAAATTCTAAATATATTAAAGAATTTATTCTATTCCAAACTAGAGTTGGAAAAATATCGATAAAACACAGCCATGTTTATATCATGCATTTTTATTTTCAGCAAATTCCCAATTTACTAACTGATTCAAACGGATATCCAGGATGTTCGTGTTTCATTTCCTATGTCACTATGCCTTCTGGGGCGCAGACGCAGTTACCACCAGCAAAGTTGCAGAGACACTGACCCCTGCAGCAATCCTCTTTCTTAATGCAGCTTTCTTTAAAATCTTTACAGAATGAGCCTCTGAAAAAAAAAATAACAGTCATAGTAGAGAAAGAAGCGCATTATACTACATAAAAAGAAGTTGAAGAATCAAATAATAATTTACAGGCATTAATATTTTAAAAAGTTCAAATTGGTCTGCCAAATAAAAATAATTTTCAATTACGTAGCATTGAATTCTATGCTATACAGTAACTTTTCTTGAGTACTGCACTAGAGACATATATTTACTCTCTCACATCAGGTTCAAAAGCCTTACTCATAATTAAGATAAAATAACACGCCTGTGGGGTTCCACTGTTTATCTAACAGCTAAATGTGTAGGAACCTCTTGAACAGATAAGCGAATAATCGCTTCAGTTCATGAACAAAGACGTAAACTCAAGAAGGCTTAATTATCCTTTATTTTTCAAAATAAGAATTAATGAATCGGCTCCTTTCTCAAAGCATACAGCAAAGCCTCCACTTGGGCTTGAACTCAAAGTAAACAGAAAAAAGACTTGACTAAAACGATATAGCCGAATCTATCGAAATTCTAAGTAGTTGGCCCCTAAATATCGAATAAGCTAGCAGGCTATCAAGAGCCTGAAATACAGCCGAGAGTAATAACAGCTTAGAAAGAGACGTAGTCAAAAGGCGAACGCGCTAGTCAGAAACTCTGAGCATCTTTCACGAAGTCAGTGGAACTTAAATACCACTCTTACTCATTTGCATTAAACGTGATTCTAAAAACACATTCTGGTAGGAAATTTTAATCTGAATTTAGGAGGGGTAGGAAAGTAACTTTAACTAAAGATAACTGTTCAAAACTTAGGATAAACCTTACACGCCAAACAAATATTAATTTAGAAGTCAAACAGCAAAAATCAGCGTTATATTTGCAAACTGTTGGTATTTGACTTCTAAATTAATAGCATTACTCATGTTTAAGATTAGGCTCTATGAAAATTAAAAGAAATATCAAACTGATAAGCGAGTATCCTTCACGGTCACGTATTCATTCTTAAGAATGAATATATTTATATATTCTTAAGAATGAATATATTTATATATTCTTAATTTATATATTCTTTATATTCTTAAGAATGCTTTGTATGTTATACATTAAGTGTACTTCATAATATGAGCATAACTTCATCTTGTTTTTTGATTTATAATATATCGACTGGTAGACAATTACATAAATTCTCACCCTAAAATAATCGCAAAATTAAACTTATTAAACTTATAAACTTATTCTTAAACCATCAAAAACCAAGCTATAATTTGAACTGAATATTGTCCTCTTAAGGTAGATATTACATTTCAGAAATTTGAATAACTTCTTTTCCCAGTTCATGAAAATTCATGCATTTATTAAACTATGTGTGTAAATTAAGCCCAAAATCTATCTGACTCATAATCAAACTTCTGCCCTTCTACTAATGAAACTTATTTCATAATTAATAATTTATTTCATGGATATATTTTGCTTATATTTAACATTAATAAAGTGTTTTCAGCCAGAAGTATTCTATTTAGTTAAATAAATCTCTTCAATTAATAAACTTTTTATATTTAATGGAAATGTTCCTCACCTTTCTTGCTGCTCCATCGGAGATTCATCTAAAAAGCAATATAAATGAATTCATATTAAATATTTCATGGAATAAATTTATTAGCATACTTGTCTAATTTTACTAACAACAAATAACATTAAAATATAATTATGAATATTTGATAATTTTTAAATGAATTTCTATTTTATTTAAAATATTTCAATATCAATATTTTATTCACAAGTAAATTGTTTTTTCGTATAATACAAAAAAATATCATACCAAGTGAAACGCTAAACTTTTGTTGTGACAGACATTCTTTGGGCATATGCCATTTAATCCGACATAATATATCAAAATTATTGTCAGATTCATGTACCCACATTCTCATTGCGGAACGTTTAGGTTACTTGAATCTGACAAAGCCAGAATGTTACCTGCCCAAAAGGAAGGAATACTTCATAGAGGACTTTCTGAGAAAAACTGGCTCGTACACTCTCTTGAGGAAAACAATAAAAAACGACTATAGAACAAGGCTGTTCGCCTGGCTTTGACCCAAGCTAAGTCGAAATACCAGTATTCAGTGATTCGGAGGAGGGTATGATTGCGAAACAATTACAGAATGCTGTGATGCAACAGCTCGGATTTGAAGTTCTGATATTGATCCGGGTTGGAAAAATTCAGAAGTATTATCTTAAAAATGCAGATTTCATAAAAATTCGTAGAGTTCAAGAGCACAGCACAGAATATAGCATCAGAATACTTCGACTGATCCAGCGTTGAAGAGCAGTTCCATCCAAATATTATGCAGAACTCAAAACTCAATGTGAGAATATAACATTTCATCGTGTCATTATCACGTGATACACTATACATATCAAACTGCTATAAACAACAGCATCGCAATCCAGAATGCCTACATAGATTCGTAAATAAATTTAACCATTTGTTTTCCTTTTCCGTTTTTAATTCGTTTATTTCTTTTACTTTATTTTCCAAGATTTTATTCTTGTTTTGCATACATTTTCACCTGAATGGTTTATACTGAAATTAAACTGAATGTTATGCAACCTTTTCAATTCTAACTTAGTATTTTCAGATATTCTGGCTTTCTAGAACAGTCCTTGTTTTTAAGTAACGTATTCACAGTCCCGAAGTAGTGCTTTCAAGGCCTCAGTTTCTACAAGTTTTAATTTTTTGAAAACCGAAGTCCTATTCTATTATTTAATGCACCATTATTCGTCTGTCACGTCTGTTCTGAGCACTCTATTTTTTTTTCATAACAAAATTGCTGCTCATTTAAGAAAATTGTTGAAGATAAGGGAACCGTCTGGCTGTTCAGAACAGGCAATAATCACAAACAGGTGAACCATCTGTCAGGAACTGTGATACAACTCCAAATTGTTTACTGAAACGTGTTTAGTATAAGTTATAGGAACTAGAATTATCGCAGCTGTTGGCACCAAACTTGTACTACAATTGATGCTCGTTAAAGAATTTGGAGTGTACCCATTCCAATTATGGGTCTCATAAGAGCCCTGCATTGTGATTTTTTGTCACTACCTTCCGTTCTAGGAGTGTGTAATTTGCGCACTTACTGCCTTACTTGAATGTCGTACCCATTTCTTAAGAGCCCTCTCCAGAATCGAGCCCTTTTTCCCTGCAGCCGTTACGACAGTAGTAGGCGCGTAAGCTTCCATCGACAGTTGATAAGAAAGCCTTTTGAAAGGGTGTCCGCCGATAACATCGCGGCAAAAACATCGCGGAAGAAAACGTCGCGGAGAAAACAACGTCACGGAGAAAACAACGCAAGGCGAAAACGTCGCGGAGAAAACAACGCAAGGCGAAAACGTCGTGCTACAAAACATCGTGGGAGAAAACATCGCAAAGAGAAAACATCGCAGTTCTAAAACATCGTGCTACAAAACATCGTCGTCGAAAATTAAAGCGGTTCAAAAACTTCGCAGTTTAAAAACATCGTCGTCGAAAATATCGTGGTAAAAAATAAAGTATCTACAAATCATCGCATGACGATAACTTCGCAGACATGCTTTTTTCAGGTTTAATTATTGTAAATGGATATTACCATAATGATTTGTGAGCGCAGTATGTAAAGAAGGATAATTTTTATTTTCACATATTTTATTAACTAATAAATGTTTGCTGAAAAAGTAAGAAGGAAACTTAAGCATAAAAAATTAAATGCAAATTATAGATTTATACTTTTCATGAAAATTACCATTAAAAAACTTTATAAAATGATTTATTAATGGCCTTGTTAGTTAACTATGTCGGTTTAAAATTCTATTAAGTGCTATAAGTTGCATTAATTTTCTATGCTTAAGTTTCATTCTTATTTTCTCAGCAAAAATTTATTAGTTAATTAAAAGTATGAAAGTAAAAATTATCCTTCTTTCCATCTTGCGATCACAAATCAATATGGGAATATCCATTTACAGTTATTAAAGCCTGAAAAGAAGCATGTCTGCGATGTTATCGTCATGCGATGATTTGTAGATACTTTATTTTTTACCACGATATTTTCGACGACGATGTTTTTAAACTGCGAAGTTTTTGAACCGCTTTATTTTCGACGACGATGTTTTGTACCACGATGTTTTAGAACTGCGATGTTTTTTCCCACGATGTTTTGTAGCACGACGTTTTTGCCTTGCGTTGTTTTCTCCGCGACGTTTTCGTCCGCGATGTTTTTGCCGCGATGTATTCGGCTGTAACCTTTGAAAGATATGTCACCGGAACGAGACGTGTGACTAGCCCAAAATTATGCAGAGTCACCACATAATACGGACACGAGGGCCGATAGGTTTTGGTCTAATAAAAGCTCCCGTCACCAGAACTTCGTAGCTCTGTTGCATATATGTGCTCTAGAGTATCTGCAGTTACCCAAGTAGTAAGGTACGATCCAAAGAACCATAACTGATTTAAAGAGCAATTTGGCGTTTCGCCTTAATAAGGCATATATTGGGTTGAAACATAAGTAAGGGCCGTTTATGATGTGCTTAAAACTACGTGGTAAAAATAAATTGTATTGGCATAAAGTTTTACGTTATTCGAAAGAGAATCTTTCCCTCTACGCAACGGCATATTTGATTTTTTGTCTGAGATATGGAGTGTCAAGACGACAAAAATAAGCATTTTCGACACCTTCTTTTTTGCGTTTAATCGAGGCGCCAATGCTGCAGAAGCTGCCCGAGAGATTCGTAAAGTGTTTGGAGAAGGTGCAGTGCCTGAACGAACTTCAAGAAATTGCTTTGCTAAATTCAAAAATGGAAATTTCGACCGTGAAGACGCTGCTCTTTCCGTCTGAGTTTGATAAAGAGCGTTTGAATCAACTTTTATTTGACATTTTGTCCATTTTGTCTATCGTTCTACCCGGACTGGTATTTGGAAAATTTCTCTTGTTACCATGAAATGTAATTTTAATTCAATTAACGTGGTAGAAACGTTATATCTTTTTTTATCTTATTAATTTTTTAATTAATTCTTAATTTTAACATAGACATGTACAGTTATCACTTAAGTGATATATTTTAAACCATTCAGTGTTTGTTTAATGTCTGAGAGTTACATTTTGGAATGTCATAATTCACGGAGGAAAAAGATCAATAGACGTGGATATCATCTCAATTAACTTCATTTTTTATGTGTAATAGACTATATGAAATTCGATTTTTTAAGAGTCACCATGGATGGGAGAACACATTTTGATGATCGGATTTGATATCTTTGTAAAGTTCGGAAACATACAACTGTTAAGGATTCGGCCTCCTATGAAATGAATGACATTAACAGTATAGCAGATTACAGCATTTAAATCACGTTATTCTTTTTGTTACGAGTGGATGATCCAGTGAGTAAAAAATCAGTTATCAGGCAGACTATGCATAAGTGAATTGCAAGCGACCTGTAAATAAGTTAATAACACAAGTGACTAGATGAATGTGACAAGCAAATATTACACAGGAATTCTTCAAATAAGTGAACAGCACATATGGTATATATTAATATATCCAGTTGATACTGTAAAGTATAATGCATTTGAGTAACTTCTTCCATCCAAGTTACCACTGACTTCTAGAGTAAATGTTCTCTGTAAACTCAGAATCACAATGCATAAAACATTGCTAAAATCCTCACTCAGCACAAAGTCTTGACAGGATCTCTTTTAATCTTCTTTAATAATCACAGGTCACAAATACCCATCTGTAGAAGTAAATTTATAAATTCCGTTACGAAGTTTAACATTCCATGGTAATTTTTGGCTGGGTCTTGCGACAACATAATACTCCAATAATGAATACAAATGTTAATAGTCATCTAACAGGCGGTACAGCAACTCAACTGGTGGTAAGTAAATAAGTGAGTGGTAACAGTGTCGCCAACTTGCACTTTCCTTTTTTTTCGGTCCTTCTTTTAATATTCCTCACTCAAATCCCGGAGGACATTGTACTAAGCCGTTTGTATTTATTTATTTTTATTTTTAATTTCCTTCGATAGGATCATCCAGCAGGCTGACAAGCAACTAACCCGGTGGACCAGCAGTTCTATTGATGACGGAAAGAAAATAAGTGAAAATTATATGTTCATTGCTATTAGCTTTAACACTTGATAAAATTTCAAATTCAAATCCTTCATTACCTTAATTCTACACACGAGGTAAGCAACGTATACATTATGAATTCTCATTTGCAAAAGATGTACTATATTTAAGATAAATATCTTTCCACCTTGTGCTCGGGTTTTGTACGACAAAACTGTAATTCTTCGTGTGTACTTCTGCTATACGTTGTAAAGGAAGCTGCGAAGAGTGTTACGCCGCATTTCTTTGATTACTGTAAAAGACTCACTTTTAGTAAAGAAGAGTGGGATACAAGAGATTGAAAGAGAGTTTGACGAAATGTAACTGGACCTGAATCATATAAACATTTATGTGTATAAATTTGTATGCAATTTATCCTAATTTCTAAAATACTATAAAAGATAAAACTAGGATATTCATTGCATAATCATCTTCAAGAAACATCAACGAAGCCGCCAATTCCTAAG